AATGCAAAATATATCAAACAATATTCGAAATATTCAAAAACAATTTTCATCAATAATTGAAACAATGTTTCAATCATTTTCTTTCTTAATAAACATATAATACAAGAATTGTATTATAGCATCTATTGAATATCTAGAAAGTTTGCTTTATATTGGCATTTGCTTAAAAATTTACTGCACAGTTAACATGTATATTTTGTCATGCATGCATACTTTAACCATAAATATTCTTGAAAAAATAAAGATGAATTAACTTTTATTGGTAATGGAATAAAAATCCTCTATATGGCTCAGTGCAATGATAAAAATAAAGCCTGGAAATTGACATTTTTGTTAAATTTGTTTAACTATGTACTCTTAAATGGTTCAAGAATTGTTTTTTTATACTGCAAGTTAGTGTTTTCCCACCATTCATTTTTGGATTAATTTCTTTTTATTCATTTTCAATACGTATAGCTTGGAATGAGGTAGTTGAGACCTTATCAGAGCTGTACATCATGCTCATAGGAGTGAAAAATTCAAGGAAACCACATCTTCATGTGACCCTTTGTAAGACAGCTCCTGAAAAAAAAAAAAAAAAAAAACCTATCTGGAATTTTGAAGACCTCAAAAATGGAATAAAATTTAAAGTGAAAAAAATCTAGAACTATTTTTTAAAAAATTGCTAAAGATAAACTGTCTTTCACTTTATTAGAAATGGCTAAAAACTAATAAAACATGAGAAAACACCATTGCACTGACTACTACTGAGGTGCAATTGGAATCATGTTGCATGCTCCATTAAGCTTATAGTATGCTTAACAAGCAGCCCAGTCAGGGCAAATATCTCATCAAGGGTCATAATTTGATACGGTTGTTTTGACTTATTTGATTGCCCAGGAGTTGTCTAAAGTTTTATCTGTTTTTGTACATGGAAACTGCATCTGTTTTATTCTGTACATAGGGACTGCATGTCTTGGCCATACATATTTCCATTATTTTTTTTTTTATCAATTTAAACTCTAGCCTTCCTCCATTTTGATAGCTAGATGTATAACTCCAATCACCATCCAGAACCGATCAATCTGAATAACTTGGTAATCCAATACAAACTTTTCATTTATTAAAATTATAGACAGCAACCTGCACAAAAACATTCAAACAAAAGTTTATTATGAAAATTATTGCTACAAATTTAATCATTTAAGGCACAATAAATACAATATATCAAAAACTAAAGTACCATTCTTGTTCCCCACTGGAAATCAGTATATGCTCTGACTAGATTCTTATATAATGAGCATACAAATCACAATTTTCAAAAAATTTATGAAATTTTTTCAAATATAAACATTGTGCAACAATATATTTTTTAATACAGCTAAATACATTTAATATATAAATCTTCATCATATACAATCATTCAAAACTGAAATATTACTAACTTATTCTGTATATATGTATATTATGCATTCTATAATAATGCAAAAAGTGGAAATATTGTTTTTATGTACATTTTTAGATTACAAAATTTATATATTGCAGCATAACTATATATATTTCAAAGCTGACATATTAAAAGAACTGAAAATAGTTGAACTTTTAGAGAAAATATCTTATAAAAGCATTTTGTATTTTGAAAAGTAAAATAAGTACAGTACATTTGTTACAATAAAATTTATAAAAAATACACATAGATTAGTATTATTTGGCAATTCAGTAAAATGGTATTCCTTCTTTGTGACTATTACATCTGAACCACTGGATGCTATTATAAATCTTCCAGAGGCACTAATGCTTCTAACAACACAAATACTGTTATTGCATATATTGTACATGTACACATAAGGCAGCTTGAGAATATTCAGATCTAAATTTTAGTTTGTCTTTAAAACAACAGAGTAATTTATTTGATAATAGGAAAATTTTATTAGTACCATAAGTAAAATCTGTAGCTGCAAGATTAATTCCTTAACATTTTAATAACTAAAAAGAGGTTCTCATATGAAAACTTTGATTAAAACAGTTTAGGAGTTTAACATTGCACACATTAATAAACCTAGCCAACATTAAGAATAAAATTTTGATTTTTTTAAACAATGAACATAATTATTACATTCCTGAATGAAATCACATCTTTAATTCTGTACTACTTCTAATATACTAAATGTAGGCACACATTATTGTCGTAAATCATTATATTTCCAATCAATTTCAATGAATCTATCTTCATTTTAATACTATTTTGTCTTGGGACAATATATTTACAAAGTACTAATTCATTATTATTATTATTGTTTTCTTGGCTAAAAGGAACCTACCTAAGAGACCTAAATTTCTACATTATCTACCTAAAAACAGATGTGTATTCTAAAAATCTGCACAAATTTCAATAGCATGTTCCAATGATTTTGAATAATTGCACATACATAGAAGACAGCATGCATTCTTTCTAGAATGTTCCCGATTCCATTTATTGAAAAATTTTATGTAAATAATGATCCATTTTAAAAAGGAAAGGTTTAAATGAATTTGATAGAAGAAATAATTGGAAGATTTTATACTGAAAATTGAGAAACTAAAAAATCTTACACAGTTAAATATTTCTCGGTACAGGAGTTCCACAGAATACGGTGTAAATCATTTCAACAGTACTTTCAACTTTGAAATTTGTGGATTTTTAGGATACACTCCTTTAGAATAATACCTAAATTTTATATTTGCCATACAAAATTTAAGTGTAATTGTTAAGGTATGCCAATTATGCAAATATTTTATGTAAGTTAGAAATATCATTAAAATAAAGACTAATGTAAATAAATAATGGTTGCATGACAATTGTGGTAAGTACTAGCTAATAATAGCCCTGTTCCACTGAGTTGCAATATCTAACATGCAAAAATTGCACATCCTTATATAATTCATATTTTGATTTTCAAAAAGATAAAGTCCACATAGTTGAAATATTAACATTATTATTAATATGCTTATCAATTATATTCTGATAATTTCAGTTTTATTCATAAGAGATTTCTCATAGTATCTGATTAGAAAGAAACACAGTTTCTTTGAAAAGAACCTATATGCAAGTACAATTTAAAAAAAAAAACAAAATTTCTAAATTTTATTCTTAATGTTTCTGTAAGTACTAATAAAGGCTTTATTGACAGGATGTTAGTGTACAGAAAAAGTAGTTCTTTACACTAAGATCTTATCAAAGAAGCTTATACAAAGCCACACTAACTGCTTTATGTATGCTTTTCTGTAACCAAAGACAAAATATTATAGTGTTTGTAATTGGGTCTTCTCATCTCAGAGATTCAGATTATCAAGAAAACTTTCATTTTTCCTAAATTTTAAGATGTTTGAAATATTTTCACAATAAAATAATATAATATTTTTGAAGTCTTTTACTGAAAAACTGCCAGTAAAAAGTATCAAAAATACAAAATAAGAGATACATAATAACTAATATAATATATATAAAAGATTGATGCAAAAAGCTTAAAAATAGTGCATAGAGTATACTGAAAAAACAAAATGGAAGCTTTTAAATGAAATGTGAGAATGCAGATATATAGTGTACAATATGTAAAATAAAGAAGACAAAGAATATAGTAAATATATATTTAGTGTGTGTGTAATAGTTAATATGGTGCTATGCTTTCAGATCTTAAAAAATTGAAATAGAATTCAGTTATTATAATCTATCAGCCTCAGATTTGCCTATTCTGATAATAAACTGATAACATTAAGCGAAGTAAATAAGAAACTTTGGACATTTATATTTCAATATGTCTTTTTGAATATAACTTGGAGTAATTTTAATTCTCATAATAGCAATTCATTCAACCTACTTGCTTACTGGTATTTGTAGTATAATCCTTTAAAACAAATAGCATATAATCTAATTCAGTGGTTTCCAGACTTTCTGTACCTCTCAGAAAAAAAATTGTTCTGCCTCCATCAATTTTCATAATCTAATTTCATAAATACTGTCTTTATAATTCATTTAATGGCCTACAAAACAATATATTTTATTTAATAAGGTATATTTTGTTTGCCAGGGCTTGACTCCACATTTCGGCAATAGTATGGATGGATTTTTAGCATTCTTTCAGTTGTTTGGATGAGGGCTGTGAATTCAGCATAACTGGTTTTGTAAATTCATTTTTTGACATAAATTTGACTTTTTCTTGTTTGTATTAAAAAAATGATAATTTAGTAAAAGCTGCAAGACCCTTGCATAGCTTCACAGATTGGATAAACACTACTGTAATTGAAAATAGAAGATGACAAAAATTTGTACTACTACACTAATAATAAATGTTAATATTTAAGCACTGAATTGACTGATAACTGTATGTTATCATTTGCACATTGTAACTGATAGTACCCCAAAATAGGCAACTTTTTCCTTATTTATAATAAGTTTATCATCTGAAGATAATCAGAATTTGGTTAGTTTATAAGTGTATTTATTTTATCATAAATGTTTTGGAATTTATAACTTGTATAAGGCTATTCAATTCTGTGATAATATCCACGATTATAATAAAAATATTCTATTCCATTTCAAAACCTAAAAGTAATTCTTGATTTCAATCTTTTCTTGGTAAAAAAAATTTTTTGCCAAGAAAAGATTTACTAAGAATTTTAAGTATCTAAAATGTAATGTTAAATATGTTATCTTAATTCTTTAAAAAAACTGATTACAAATAATAAGTAATAATAATAATTAATAATTTTTTAGTAATAAGGAATAATCTTATTATTCCTTAATACTAAAAAATTTTTTTGGTAAATTATTTGTTAATGAATGACATTCTGAATAATTTATCCTCATTAACTTATTCTGCAAATGACAATTTTTAAGATATAAAAAACAAAATTAGCACAGGAGATTTGAAACAATGTATTTGATTTTACTTTTTGGTCCATAACAGAATGGGACTAAATAATTAAAATGTTTTCATTTGAAATGGAATTTAGCTATAAGTTGTTATATCTGGAATGAATAATCCCTGAATGATTGAGAAGTTAAAAACAGCATTAAGAATTCAATAAAATACAAAGCAAATTGTAATAATACCAGTGAATACAAGATTTTCCAAAGCTACTCCAAAGGAATGAGAGAGATAATCCAATTACCTCCATTAATTTATAAACTTTGGCTGAAGATGAAATATTTCAAAAAACAAAGATTTATATTTTAATATTAAAAAAATTATATTAGTATTCACACACAGTTGAAAATTGAGAAAACTTTTATAATACTGATAATAGCAAGTTATTTGTTTTTAAAAGTGCTCAGCATATGATATTTTGTTTAAAAAAATATGAATCATTTCTTTTTCACAACCTGTGCATATTCTGCATCATTCTGCATAAAATGATGCAAAGTGGCTTCATATGGTTGTTCAGCAACAGTATGTTTTGACTCATTTCTGATTACGTTCTCATAATCACCAATTTCACTCACTTGTTTCAGTTCCTGACTTTTTTCTTTCTTGGCTATTGGATTCACCAAACTTGGAAGATTGGAATAATGTGCGATATCACTTTCACTATTTTCAGGAGCATTTGTACTACTTGTAGTAGTCATTAACTTTCCATAAACATGATAATTATTTGATGGAATATTAGAAAACCTTGTTGGTTGATATCTTTTTAGAGCAAGGTGATCATAACCGTCTGTGTCATTTGCATGTTCAGAAAATGCTGTATTAGTAATTTCATTGCTACAAATTTGAAGTTGTATCAATTGTTCATTCAATGAGGAAATCAGATTTTTCTGTTTAATTTCCATTTCTTCTAAAATGGCATATTCGGGTTCTTCTTGTGTAGGATGTATTTCATTATCTTCAACATTTCTACCGTGTGTTTTCCACGCTTCAGTTCTCTCTTCCGGTTCATCATAAAGAATATCTGTCTGCATTTTTTTCTCAATATTTGCAGGATTTTCATATAAATGCTCTGAAGTATAATAGGAAAGGCTTTGTCTGTTGAGTGAATTAATTGAAGTATCTTCCAAAGAATTGTGTGCACTTTTATTTTCAGGTTTGAGTTTGCTTTTTCTTGGTGGTTTGGCAAAAGGTGGTTTTGAAGAGATTCTTTTGTCTTCCTCTTGGCTGTTCATTTTATCATATTTAATTTTTGAATCATCACTTGAAACTTTCTCATCAATGATACTTGACTCGCGCAATTTTTCATCTGTGTCATCTGCTTTTCTTCGAACTAATGGTGACAATTGAGAACCACTGAATGTTTGCTTATTAAAAAACATAGCATTACTTTTATCAATGCTAGGACTTGGACTAGCTTGTAAATCAATTTCAGACTGTGAAGCTTTCAAAGAATTAACATGTGTATCAACATTTTGGAAAATTGCACTAGCATCTTTAGAAATAAGACAAAATAGTCCTTCACCTGAGGAACATTTACGACCTGCTTCAAATGAAAAACTGTCTTTGCTGCATCCATAGCGACGAATATGACGGTATGGCCAAGTATATACTACTTTGCCAATTCTGCCTTGGGCTGCTTCTTCAGCTAATGAAATACTAACAGAAGTAACTACCAAATAAAATTCTCCTTGAAGACCACAACGAAGTGATGCTTCTGTATCAATCATTTTTATACCATACACTTCTATTGAAAAAATAAAAATAAAATATGTATATAAACAGTTGAATACATTTAAAATTTTTGATATTACAAATCAATTAAAGACTTACGAGTATCGACTGAACTATACAACATGTTTTCTTCATGCTGCACAACACACTGACGTTTTTCTAATCCACCATCTAATGTTTGTGAACTAAGAGATATTTGACGAGATAAGCCAAATGATACAGTTTGAAGAGCAGATAACCAGTCAGTCATTTCTTGGAAGGTGTCTGCTGAAAATTGGTAAGTGTGACTTTTTGTTCGAACCTGGAAGAAAAGTAATTCATTAATTAAAACTAACTACTTACTACATTTTCATGTAACTAAGCATATGCTCTTAAGTGAAAATCACTTGTTTTTGCATTTTTGAAAACATATCCTGTTTCACTTAGAGTACCTTATACACGAGCATGCTTGTGTGTACCACCAGCTTGTTTTGGTTTATAAGATCATCATACCGCTATGTCAATATAAATTATGTGTAAATGAACTGCTATAGTAACTATTCTGTCATATCTGTGTAATAATTATTATTAAAAATAAAAAGAAAAAAAAATGTTTCAGATACTATAAAATCTTTTAAATAGGATGCATTTTTAGGTACTTTGCAAAATATAGTGCCAGTTTTGCATCCCACAGAAATATGGTGTATGTATATATGTTACTGTGAAAGACCGAAATTAGAGAATATCGACAAAATATGTCAGTGAAAGACTAAATATTTGGTTATATCAGTGTTTTTCAACCTTCTTGAATACGCGACCCCTTTACAAGTTAAAAAATTCTGGCGACCCCCCCTAGGGCCATATTAAAACTATATCAGTGATTTTAAAATCTATGTATTTAATTTTCTCTCTGTTGAGACAAATTATTGTTGATTAAAGTGAAAATTTCAGAAGAATCGACAATAACTTAACACACAGAGTATGAAACTTCCTTTAATTATAACATTTGGTACAGGAAGATGTTGACCTTTTTTTTGTTTAGGATCAGAATTTTCAGTTTCTACTTTTTATTTCTTTTTGCAGATCAGCTCAACACTTTTTCCGCTATCATTTTCTGGGGTGGGCCATAATTCTCGCTGAAATTGTAGTTTTTTTTTAATGTAGTGTAGGACCTACAAACACTTGTCTTTTTCTTTTACCTGCGACCCCCCGTGTAAGGCTTCGCGACCCCCAAGGGGGTCACGACCCACAGGTTGAAAAACACTGGGTTATATTATTATACATTTGAACAATTGCTGGTGTATGTCGACAAGCATAGATAAGCTTTGGTGGAGGTTGAAATGATACTCGAAAAGCTGATGTCGATAGAGAGGAGACTGTCGCCAAATCCTTTGTGGGTAGTCTGAGATAGGACAAGGTCGTATCTCTTTTCTCGGCAATGGTTTGGTGGAAAATCGCCCACTCTGTCACTGGATGGTGTTTTTTGTTCTTTTGATCCCGTGAGGTGGGGATCAGTTACTCAGGTCGAGTGGCGAAGGATGAGAGGGGTCGTCGGCAATATCCAAATAAAAGACACCATTAACAGATCAGTTTGTAATCATGTAATAACATAATCAGTTCGTAATTTGTAAAGAAAAGTTACTTTTCATAGATGAATTCTATGAAAAGTTACTTTTCATAGATTCATAAAAGATATTTCTTGAAGAAATCCTTCAAGAAATATCTTTTATATTCTCAAGAAATATACAAGAAATGTAGCTGCTGAGAGAAGCAGCTACAGCTAATTTGAAAAGTGGAGGGTAAGGCTATACAGTAAACCCCCCATAACACTGTAAATAATTCCGTGTTATATGAATTCCATGTTGTACGAATCACTTAGATTTTACAAATATTTACAAATATTTTATAATAAATACGTATTTGTAAAATCTGAGTGACTCGTACAACATGGAATTCATATAACATGGAATTTTCTACAGTGTTATGGGGGTCTACTGTACACGCTGTCATTGCAAAAAGAAGTGTTCCACGAATAAATGCAGTTGTAAAAGCAAGGGACTCAAAGTGCCATAACAGTTTAAATTATTGAAATAAATAAGATTGTACAATGTCAATCACATAATTTATGTGTAAGTTTATTATTGTATTATTTTCTTTAATGATTTAGAACGTACTGTTCATTTTAGATTCAACAGTTTATTTACATGTGCTGTTACTTAAGCTCTCTCCTATTTTGACATATTAAAAAGTTGCATTTTTGTCTTAAGGTAATAAAAATATTTTTATTCAACATTCACCATCAGTGCATGCCGAATGTCGACATTTGCCAGTGTAAGTGAAAAAATGATGATATTTAGCAAATATTTCATCATACATACACAAAACGACTGTGTGAATGCTGACATTCACCAGAGAATGTTGACATTCGCCAGATATCGGTCATTCACACTAACATGTAGGATATAAATTTTTATAATACAGGTAATCCTTGACTTTCAGATATAATATGAAAGTCGGGTAAAAGAATAAATTTGACATTCAAAAATTGAGATCGGAGGTTCCTAATCATAGTTTCCCTTGGATGGCAGTATGGAGCTGTGTCCCTTGCTGTCCACTCGTCTATGTCCGATGTGAGGTTTACGCTCCATTGATCTCCGACTGTAAAGATCTGCATGGAGATATCTAATGAAGGTGTCTACCTGGCAGTGTCCTCTTCGGCGGTCCACCCAAAGATGCAAGTTTAACCCCTTTTTATACTCATCTCAGAGGGGAATCATGGGGGAAGAAAATCTGATGCAATCGCCAGCTTGACTTGCATACAGCTGTGTTTGTTATCGTCATCCTTTCCTTCCACTATTTGACATCTTCCCATCATAAATTCTGTCAAACTCCCTGATTTATTGATGTGAGGTGACTCATGTCAGAATATGTCTCACCACTTTAGTAAAAATCATTGCCTTATATGGTCATTTACATCGACTTTCTCATCGGGTCGATCGAACTTAGAAGGGAGTACGGGGTTTTGTTTTATCCTTGTCTGTGACCTTTTGGTTACTCTCTAGACAGTAACAGCTGTTGTTAATTGGCTACTTATCTGCACCTTATATTTACGTTAGACTTGAACAATCCCCTGGTGTGAGGGGAGCCCTTCATTGGATGATTAAAGTCACCTTTGAGAGGTGACACAGTACACTGAGGGATCAAAAGGTCTACTCTTTACTTCACGAGAGGGGAAAAGAAAAAAGAAATAATGATAAAATTAAACTATACCAACGTGTGAAAATTTACACTAGTCCAAATTCTCACATAATCGATTCCGCTTAATTGGGACTGATCCATTTTGGCCCAATTAAGTAGTTGCTCCAATTAAACTAATAAATTCTAAAATAAAATATGTAATATGTAGGAAAATAAGCAGGTAAAAAATAAAGTACCTACTTTAAAGCTTTGTTAATTAAACCAAAATACAGAAAACATTTGTACTATAAATTTGCCAGATTCACGACGATGGATAACTGATCCACATCGTGCTAGTGTTGCCAAATACAGTATTAGTAGTGAGGTACACAAGGGTTGACTGTTCAATTCGTTCCTGATTGAACAATTTCTTTCTCCCTTTTTAGTTAGAATATGTTCTAACTAAAAAGGGAGAAAGGAAAGGATTTGTCCAAAAGTCACCTTACAGTCTTCCTTTGAGCACAATTTCCTTTATTTGGTGTGGGCCACTTTGGCTGAGTGTCCACAGAATCCACCAGCTCAGGATGCTAGTCTCAACAATTGGATGGCTGCTGTTTGAATCTAGATGTAATCATGCACACGATATCTTCCAAGCAAACTCTAGCTCTCTTCCAACTCAGTAGGAAGACCTTGAAAAATTGTCGAGGGATCTTTGTCCCTTCGCTTTTAAAACGGATCGTCCAGTCCAATCCAGAGCAGGGTCAGTAGCTCGCATTCAGGTCCATCTCAGACGGGATCCTTGTGTGATACATCCTGCTATGATGACCGTCTCCAGTAACACTGAACTGCCTGAGCAAAAGACCAAAAAAAAATAAAAAATAAAAAAAAAATCGCTTTTTCTCTGCCAATTGTTAGGGCTACACAACATTAGTCTATGTAGTGTCTACATATTTTCGGAAGATCCCTAAAATATATCAAAACTTGCTAAATTCCTTTTCTGCTACTGTCCTAATTAAGCAGTTAAATTATGTATTAATTTATTTGTTTGGTTTCCATTCTGAGATTTGGCCCAATAAAAGCAGCTGACCTGATTAACCAGTGGCCCAATTAAATGGAATCAACTCTTGAAGAAAACAGATTTAATAGTCTAAAAAGCCGAAGGTTATTAATATACAATGAATATGGTAAGCCTATCTTAAGTCAAAATCAATTTATATATATTTAGAAACTTTGAAAAATGGAACATTGTTTTATGAAATTATTCCAAGTTGACCAATAATATTGATATTAAATTTGAAATTAATTTTAAAACAGCAACAACAACAACAACAGGTATATGAAAATAATAAACACTAAGGTGTTAATCTAAATTAAGAAAAAGTATTGACAAAAGTTATTTAATACCTTTCAAGACAGAAGAGTACGATAAAAATTTTTGTATAACTTTTTCTATTCACTAACTGAATGAAATAGAATTTCAGCATTGTATTGGATGGCCTTAAAAATTACAACACATCAGATCTTTAACAATAAAGAAAACTCATTTTTTGGTTGAATAGATTAAATATTTTTGATATTTAATGCAGTTTAGAAGTTTGGTCTGAAATATTTTTTTTCTTTTCTTATTTTATAATTATGTATATTGATAGTATGAACTGCTAGCAGAACTGATGTCTTCTAAGGTTATGACATTTTCAATAACTTTCAGAACACTATATATTGTTGGTGCACAAGAATAGTGACACAACTCAAAAATTTCCAATTTTGAGTTTATTGTAGAAATGTATAGCAAACTCCCCATATTTTTATATGGAAGAACGAACACTAATATTTATTTTCAAAATAGGTTTGAAAATTTTAAAAATTAAAGATCATGACAAAGCCTTGCAGGAACAAGAAACTTTTAAGTGGCTATTCTGAAAAGAACTTTGAGTTGTGTCAATATTCTTGTGTACCAATGATATAGCAATGCAATGTTTTTAGTTTAGCAATTTTCTATGGAGATTTATACTACTACTGGTTACACACAGGTAATTATTATAATTTAAAAGTTTCTACAAATTAAATATAATTTAATACTTGCTTCAAAAACATTAGGTTGATGTTTCTGTGGCAGAATTGTTACTTTAACACAGTCTGTTAATGGAATGATCTTATATGAAGTCTGTCTGTAAAAGTTGTCTTCATTATCAAATATTTCCAATCTTTGTATTCCATGATTACTAGCTTTGTACAAGGCACAAAACTTTTTATGCCAGTTTTTCTGGAAAACAAAAAGAACGATGTTAATTTTTAATAAATACAATCTTTATATCATCTATAATCAGAATATTATACTGTGACTGTAAGTATATATATCAAATCTTAAAAAGATTAAAGTATGCTGCAATTAAACAAATTTTTTAAAATTCTCTTTACACTATGGATCACTCATGGAAACCATATTCTGCTAAAAACTAACTTTTCAATGTTCTTTGAACAGAAAGATAATCTTCTGGACATACCCATCACTAGTTCATTCAGGTCTGCAATGTAATTACTATAGTTTAAAGGCCAAAGTAAACATATCTAGCTCAGAACACCATGAAAAATGACCTGAATTCAATCCAGATTATCAGAATGACAATCAGATTGTCTTATCTGCTCAATTATTTGACCATCTCATTACAGATTTTTAAATTATGTAAATTAATATGAATTTCTTTATTCAGATCTGGTTAAATGTTATTAGGTTCATTTGGTACACCCTTTAGATTATATAGAAAGATCATTTTCAAAATATAAATTATTTAATTTATATTTTTGTATAATATAAACCATTCTTTAAAGTGATAAAAAATATGTTCTATTTGTTTTAGTGATTTTGTATTTATATTTTTATGATTTTTTAAAAAGGGAAGTAAATCCCCACATTTTTAAATCTAACATGTCACCTGTCAGTCTGTTCCTAACTGTTGTAAACATTGATATTTTACTAACTAAACAATTAAAAAAATTACCATATTTACTCAAATATGGTAATTGAGTAAATATGCCATCAAATGAGAGCATGTAGAAATTAAGATGAACTTTTTTTTAAGATAAAAGGAGACAAATTTATGTCAACAAAACTGATTCAGTTGACAAATTTACTTTACTGTGCAATAAATACTGAACAAGTTATTTCAAACTTCAATATTGATGTATGTTTTGTGATATTGAAGTTTGAAACATCTTCACTTTGTGTTAGACTCTTATGAATCAACACTGGATTCTCTGTTCATATCTTCAGTGCTGTTTGAAGATTCAGAAAAGCAACACTTCTTTAAAGAGTCTGCAGAACTTTCATTCACATACTTGTTAGTATAATATAGTAGTATCATAAGAATAAGCTAAGCATTCTCTTGCATGTATGCAGTTTAAATAAACCATTCACAATACTGTTTGATCATAATGTATTATTAGAAAGTACTACTATCTCCTAAAGTACTATTATGTATTATTAAAATGCAGCCTTTAATAGATAGTTTTCTAGATTATATAAACAACCTAGTTTACTGTTAAGAAATTAATGTACTGAGTAGGCTAGAATATTAGTACTATTAGTTTTTAAATACTACTACTTAGTACTACTGTATTTTGTATACTAAAGAAATATAATAGACATGTTAATTAATAAATTAAGTATTTTATATAAGATATTAATAACAAAAAACTGGCATTTATAGGACTAGATATTAGTTCAATGTAGCCATCAATAACAAGAGAAATGATTTATGAAGGATAAAAAAAAGAAGCAGAAATAAAGAATGGGAAATAGAATTAGTGAAGTTTGTATTTGATGATAACGACTTCCAAGATGGTGAAGGGAAATTCTATATACAGATAAAATTAAACATGGCCAGTGTAATTGGTCCAAAGCTAGCTGAAAGCCGTGAAACCATTTGACAAAGAAATAAATAAAATTAAAAGTAAAATTAAAAATAAAATTATTCATTCTCATTATGTAGATGATAATTACTTCATCATTGTATAATATTAATATAAAGACAGAAATATTAGAAAAATCAAAACAAAATGAATAGTCATATTAAACTCAAAAAAAAAAATTAATATATTAATATTCAAATAATTTATTGATTTAAGAAGACAAAATGATTCTTTATGTTCTAAATATTAAACTATGTAATATAAGAAAAGTTACAGTCTAAATTATATTATTCATATTGCCCTAATTATATTTAAAAATAATAATTTTATAAACAGAACTAAATAAAATTTACTATCATACAACTTTGGACTGACATTAAAAAAGATGTAAAAAGCACTTAGAGAAAATATTTACTTAATGATTATCCTCAAAAAAAATAGCACAACAAATATGAACACAATAGATAGGTGAAAAATAAACTGAATAAAAAGATAAATTTTATGAATTTCCATATATTAAATGTCTGTTTAAAAAACAAAAAAAAAAAAAAAAAC